ATGATGGATGAGTTTCGTAAAACTGAAATATTCTCTGTAGATTGTTCTTCTGGGGGAGTGATGAATTCCGTACTGACAACTAGTATCTCGATGCAATATTCATGGTCCCAACACTAATTTTTGGCTATTTTAAATGTCTTGTTCTGTTTTTGTTAACGCTTTTCTCCCTCCTTAAGTTTCAGCATTTTATGCCGAGTCTTTTAACAAGAGGATACAATTCAATGCTCATATATGGACCAAGTCAAAGTTCTTAGGAATGTCTATCGGTGTTCACAATATCGGGCAAGGTATGTATGTGTATAATTGAAAAGCAAACTCTAGACTGTGAAGAAACTAATCCAAGAATGTTAATACATTTTGCTGGGAAGCTATAATCTTACCGGGCATGATGAGTATGCTTTATTTATTATTGCTCTTTTTGCATGGTATCGTTTGAATGCCAGTCTCAGTAAGCAGCCTGTGGTACTGGGTTCCACTCCATTCAGTTGGTCCCTGACTTGCTCAAGGCCTGGACTCCAGTGCTTTGAATATCCATGACTTACCTGTCCTCTGTCGTTTGTGGGCGAGTGCTTAAACACCTCCAAAATCAGACCATTACCCCAGTTTTTCTGAGAGACCTGTTTGTTAGTGTTCTAAATCTCAATACTAAAAGTGCTGCTGGTCATAGTAAAAAAAAAAAAAATCTCATCTTTCGTAGGGTGTGTTTCATGCCTGGACTATGATGAGCACTATATTTTGACTTTCCCCAATGGTTATGGAAGGCAAGTAAATGCTGTACCTATTTTTCTTAAAACATTATTGGAATTTCATTGAGCCACTGGTTTGTGTGGTTTTTAACAAGGCCTAATTCCGCTTTATCTTTGCAGATCGATTCTCACAGTGCCATGGATAGAGCTGGGTGGCGAGTGCAATATTACTTGCTCAAAAACGGGCTATAATGCTAGCATCACTTTCCACACTAAACCGTTCTATGGAGGAAAGAAGCACAGGGTCACAGCTGATATTTTGTAAGGCTCCTTTTCTTGTCCAGCTGACCTTTCTCTTTATGGAAATACTGACAGTTCTTTATGGAAAGGGAAGTTTAGATGGCTGTGTTCATTATCTAGCTGTAGCAAAAGATTGCTTCCAGTCATTATTATAGCAGCGGTGCTAATTATGGATCACCAAACTCATGTGGGGATCTCAAGTTAGGGTGTGCTTTAGCATGGGGGAGATGCTGCATTAATGTGAATCTACTCTTCCCCTGCTCTAGAGTTGTTCCTGGCCACTTCTTGCTAGAATAAAAAGATTTTGGCCATATACTTGAATAGCCCTTTGTATTTTTATTTCTTTACCCTAGAGTTTTTGCTGCCTTTGGGAGCATTTTTTTTCACTACCACTCCCTAAGAGAACTTGTATTTAATGTATACTGGTCTTTGGATTCCACCCAGATGCTAGTAAATGTTTAATTTGTAGTTGAATCTGGATTAAGATAGACTATGTATGTGAGGCTCTCTCTGTTAGTTTTTTTTCAATCTTCCTTTTTTTTCCCCAGTTTGAATCATAGCTGAAAAATTAATTTTAAGCTCTTCACTGCAGCAACTGTCTCTTATTTTGTGTTAAATCAGAACCTAGTATAAGGAAGTCCACCGTCTTGATTTGGGGCCTATACTATAATACAAATTGGAGGCAGGAGGTGAGTTTGACAGGGGCTGGGTTGTTAGTTTAGGCCATATTTAGCAGCTTGTATACGAATGAACTCTGTTCCAATACTGTCAGTCTGCAGCTGGCATTTTGAGAGAGGCCTGGGAGACTGAGATTTAGGTGCCAGACTCCCTCTTCAGCTTCTTGGCAAGTCTTCCCCTGGTGCTACTTTCCATCAGATGTTGGTTTTGTTTCTAGTTTTTTGGGAATTGCATTTAATCTCATTGGATTTGTAGACTGGGGCACTGTTGCTAACAAGCTGCATGCACAGTGCAAGTCCTATCTTTAGCTGATAGATCACACTTTCTCCTTGAGAGGGTAAGATGTGCAAGTACATTTCCACAAGTTTAAAAAAAGCATAGATCGTCTACTCACTCCTTTATCCTAGTAGCCACTCTCCCATGGCTATTCACGCTACATGCTCTTCAGGCCAGAGACTGTCTGAAATATACTGTGTTTTCGTGCATACAACACTTCGCAAAATATGATATGCACCTTGTTTTTGAAAGGCAGAATGAAAAAATTCCAGTGTTTTAGCTGAATAGAGCAGGGACAGCCTAATCTTCAGCTGACTCACCCTCCTCTCCCTGCTTAGGCTGTGAAATAGGAGGAGAGAGACCAGGAGCAGCTGGCAAACAACAAAATTGCCATAAGAAAGGTTAGCTTGATTTAGTAGAACATCAAGACCATTAGAGGAGAGGGCTCTTAACACCTGTGGAGTAGAGAGCAATGAAAGGTTAAGTCAATTGACTTCCTCAGCTGCTGAATAGTAATGCCAGCTTCTGCTCTGTAGAGCAGGATCCAAAGCAGGGTGCTTCTCTCCTGAGTAGAAAATCACTTTCCTTGCTTAACTCATACACCGCCTTTTGGGCAGGCTGATTTCTTTGGGTGGGAGGGGCCAAAGGTAGGTGCGTGTTAGATGTGAGAAATAACGGTATCACCTAGGATGAGGCCCTGACCCTGGTTGGAGACTTCAGGTGCTACTGTGATATGAACAATAAAATTCATCTTTCCTTCCATTTAGCTACCCAAATGACAAGAGATCCTTCTGCTCCATTGAAGGAGAATGGAATGGTGTCATGTATGCAAGATATGCAACGGGGGTAAAGCAACTTCTCTTGTTTTCATTGTCTCACAAGAACTGTGCTCCAGTATTTTCATGGATGGTAGACTGCAAAATGCAATGCAGTGTCCAGAGGGGCTCTTGCAGAAGTTTCTCTTCTCCTCCTTTTATATATGCATTCAGCTTAGTGGGTGGAAGTGTGAGGAGCTGATGAACACTTCAGTATACTTTAACCACTGCAACAAAAAACTGTTTCAACAGAAGTAGTGGGACCCTCCTATGAAGGTGAGGAGAGATTGCAGGAGGTGCCAAATGGTTTTGCACCAGCTCTTCTAGAATACGTTACATTTATTCTGACACTTTCTGAAGGCAGCTGGGTCCATAGGGTCACGCTAGTGAAAACTTGTGGCACCATATTTGGCTGCCAGCTCTCAATGCATCTATTGTCCAGTAGTAACTGCCGATGGGCTGGCTCTTAACCCATGCTTGCCTCTGCAGAACAGCTGATGCACTTCAAGTTCGTGCCCAACTGTTTTGCATTTTTGTAGTCATAATTGAGCTGTGGACCTTACACATCCATCCTCTACCAAAAACCATTAAGAAAAGTGTGTACATCCAAATGAAACCTAAACAAGTACCCTAATTCTTTGTTTTGAACAACTTTTCTCTTTAGGAGAATGTAGTCTTCATAGATACCAAGAAAATGCCTACAATTAAGAAGAAGGTAAGGAAACTGGAGGACCAAGAGGAATACGAGTCTCGCTGGTAAGCATTTCATAAAGCTGATGCAAAGGACTTCTGGCTAGTGCAGGGGCAGGCAGTTAGTTATTTGGGGCGGAGGGTTGCTTACTGAGTTTTGGCAAGCCATCGAGGGCTGCATGACAGGCGACCGGGGTGGATAAAAATTAATTTTCTAAACTTTTTAGGGCCCCGTGGGCTGGATATAATGGCCTGGCAGGCCGCATATTGCTCACCCCTGGGCTCTAGTGTGTAGTAGACTAGGATTTTCTGAGAAATAAAACTATACAATGACCTGAGTCATGGACTAGATCAGACTAAATCAGCACTGTGGGACTTGTTCAATAAAATGGAAATATTTAAAACTGGACCTTCGTTTCCCTACTTAATTTAATTGCATCAATGCATTAAAAGGCTTTAGTGTAGAATTAAGATCCAGTAATAATGCAGTAATGTGCCTTGTAGAACTGTTTCCTCCCATAGATCAACGTATTTAAAAACTGCTTTTTTGTTTAAGCCTATGGAAAGATGTAACTCACAACTTAAAAATCAGAGACATCGATGCAGCTACTGACGCGAAGCACAGACTTGAAGAAAAACAAAGAGCTGAAGCCAGAGCGAGAAAAGAGAATGAGACATCGTGGGAAACACGGGTGAGCTTTTTAGCAGTGGAAACTTTAAAGACTTGTGTTCGAATTTGTCACGTTTACATCATTCTTGTTGGTTTTCCACCAAAAAAATCTTAGATGTAATTTTCCCCTTCCTTTCTTTTCTAGTTATTCCATGAAGATGGAGAATGTTGGGTTTATGATGAGCCGCTATTGAAACGACTTGTTGCCAGCAAACACTAGGGGTTTTATAAAACCCCTAAAACATGCAAGCCTTGGCTTAGTGAAGTTTACATCTGATACCAGGATAGTCATCACTTATCAAGTATGGTCTTGTGGAGAACCTGTCCCCTCCAGTAACAGTGGTTCCTCTCTCAGGGATACTGGACTTACTGATGCAGATGAACAATTAAAACAGAAAACTTCTTGACTAGGACAGTAACTTATGTTGGAACTTTGCTGTTCAAATAGTGCATTCAGACTTCAGAGGCAGGATGTCTGAGCCTTTTTTTTTTTTTTCTTCCATGCTTCAGAAGCATAAATAATCTGGGCTGTGGAGCATACACTCTGTATAACCACTGTGAAGGACATGATGACATCTGGTATCAGTTGCATAATATTCCTGGGTCCTACATATATATATAAATATATACAAAATGCAAGACTTCATTTAAATCCAGTTAGGTTTGCAATGTGTAAATATGAGGATTCCTTTGATTTGGACAGTTTATTAGACAATGTTCCATCAATGTTACCTACCACCTGTATGATAAATCAAACCCCCTTGGCATTCCAGTGTCTCACCCAAAATAACTTTGGTATTTTATTTTAGAGAAGAAAAATGTAACCATAGATTACAATTTACGCAGTGCATCTCAAAGCTTCATAAAATAGATTTTTCAAACTTCTCTTATGGATTTGTATTTATTGATTTCTTAATAAACCTTTACAGCAAGATTGTTTTGAAACTGAGCTATGAGTTAAAAAGACTTCCAACTATTCAGTATATGGCAAACAATTTTTGTGAAAAATTAGCATTGCTGTTTATATAGAGAGCAAGTAAAACTTCCAGAAGAACACAAGTCACTTAAGAATGGGATTTAAAGGAATTTAGCCTACAAAGTCCTCAAGGTGCTTTGAAAATGGTAGTGAGCAGCAGTTTGATTTTTTTTACCCCTGAGCTTTGCTAGCGAAATGGAAAAGCTGGGCATTAAGTGTTTCACGTTACTCCCCTTGCACCTGGAGAGGACAGTGGGAGTTCCCAGCACCTTGGTGCTGGCCAGAAAAGCCACTGGAGTAATTCCAGTGCAATTTATTTAAGAGGTGAACAATATCAGAGTGACACTTGTTACTCTCTCGGCTAGTCTCTCCTCGTACAGACTAGAATACCCACTAGTCTACTACTGTACAATGCTAACATGGTGCCTTAAATGTATCCCCTCTGAACTCCAGTCTTGTCAAGTCGAAGCCATGCAAACGCTTCTGGTGCAGTAAATTAGTATTTTAGTTTACACTACTCTACATCTACCAGTTGGGAGCTTCAGCAAGGGAGGACTCCATCTTGGAGTAAGGGCAGCACCTTGCGATCATGGGGAAGTAGGACTGGGAGGGACGGCAGGAGGTCAGCTAGTCCAGCTGCACACTCAAGGCAGGATCATCCCTGACTAAGCCAGCCCAGGCAAATGTCTAACCTGCTCTTGACAAACGTGAGGGATGAAGATTCTGTAAGTCTCTAGCCAGCCTGTCCCCATGCTTGATTCCCCTTCCTGCTCCTACTCTATAAGTTCTTCCCCATTTCTAGACTATACTTCCTCTGCTACATTGAGGCCATTGATCCTAGTCCTGTCCCTTATGGCTGCAGAGAAGAGGGTCATCTACCCAAGGGTGATTCCCAATAAGATGAAGTACTTTTCCCTGCCGCAAAGGGAAATCTTAATTTCTTGGGACAAGAATAGTCCACCTGACTTATGTTGAAGGTGCTTTCTTCCCCCCCTGGTTGGTAGTGGAAGACTTGTAAGCTATGAACTGATTTGACCACATTCCTGTTCTGAAGACAGCTACTCATAGGTCAGGAAGTAGCAATAAAAACCAGCTTGTAACATGCATTGGTTTCACTTTTCTGTTCTGTAGCAGCAGTTGCCATTCTTTTAGTAAAATTCACTCTTGTCCATACTTCAAAGTGAGGACAGACTGCCATAACTAGACTGAAAATCTTACTTGATGGATGATCTCCAATCAAATAGCTCTTGGCCATGCTCTAAATGATTAACAAAGTTCACACTTACAATATGTTTTCTGCCAACATACCGCTAAAACTTCTCCCTCTACCCCATCTTCTTCCTTACTACTTAACAGGGAAAAGGGAGAACTGGCAACTGCTGCTACAGTTACATTCTAATGAAATTTAAATACTGCAGTTTAATTTGAGCTGAAAAAAAATTCATAAATGTAAAATAAAGACACAGTGGTAGATGCACAAGTACCCTCTCCAGTCCTCGTAGCATGGTCAGAATCATGCAGTGGACACGGCGGCCCGGACAGAAGAGGTTCTAAAGGTCACTGTGTAACTTAGGGCAGGTAATTTGCTGAACTGATATTCTGAACTGAGAAGAAAGACTTGATTTAAGAAAAAGACACTTATAGTAATCTCATCTCTATAGGCATTTTTTTAAGGAAAATGTGAGATCCAAAACAGTGGCTGATTTACAGCAGCTGTATGAGAACAAATTCTCAAGGAATTTAATTTTAGCAAGGGTGATCTTGCCTAGTGTTATCAGTACAGATTCATTTGCAACTAAATGAATTCCCTCAAATTTTAAATAACTTAAGCTACACATAATTGCAGGGCAGGAGGACATTTATTTTAATATTTTATGGTACGGGAGAACAGTCAGAGTGGATGTGTAAGCCTTGATGTCCTTGATACAAGTGACGTTAGCCATCAAGGAGGATGGGGGTAAGAAAGTTAGCTGAGGTATTTCATCACATGAAGAGTTCTGAATCTCAGAGACAGCTGTCACTTCTGAGTCCCCTTCATGTTTTCCAAATCCAACCACCTGAAAAGTTCAAAGGCCAGAGCATTACAAAGCATGACAGGGCTGGGGCTTAAAGCTTTTGTCACTTCAAATTTATGCTTCCTTCTCTTAACGTCCAAGGAAGATGGAATGGAATTGGGCTGTTGGCTGTCAGTGCCCATACGCTGTCTCTAGGTTTGTGTCCAACTATCACAGTACAAAAGAGTCAGTTAGCTTGCATGCTTTTTCACGGTCATGAGCTGAAAAACACAAGCGTAAGTCTAAAAATGGTTGCTGGAAGCCTGCTTCTAGAGGGCAGCAAGAAAAAGCTTCAAATAAAAGCCCAGCGATTATCATACATTGAGGCCCTGGAGGAAGCCAGTCCAAGCACATACTCACATGAACACTGAGCACTTTCCTCTCGCTCTTTCTGTGAGCCTGGAACCAGGCAACCAGATCTGATTTGGTAACAGACTTCAGTGCTTCAATCTAAACCACAAAAGTTGCACATTAGGTTGCTTAAGTGATTCCCAACACACTTCTGAACATCGTCTTCAAGATCATCCTACCTGCACAGGGAAGGTTTATAAAAGCTCAGATGTTACCATTTGGATTATGCAGCGTTCATGCTGGAGCACAAGGGGTTTCAGGACCTGTGTGACTACTGGGCAGACGGAGCCTGGCGCCCAGATGCCCCCTCCCCACTCCAAACTAGCTAGGGCTATATACAGCCACAGCAGTGGGCCAGCTGCTTACTACAGCTGCCAGAGGGTGCTGCTTCTCTGATCAACAGCAGATGAGCTCCCATTGGTCACAGCAGCAGCAAGTCCCCTTTGTAATAAAAAGCTGCAGCAAACAGCTGAGCAGCTTATTCTTAACTCAGCAACCCCTGCCACAAACTAATCCAGGTTCTACTGCACTGGTGACCTACAATGACATTAAAGCAATGCCTTCAGAAAGCAAGCTGAATAGGAGCCAACAGTGGGCTCTTGTTGCCAAGAAGGCCAGCAGCAGAGTAGGCTGCATTAGTAGGAGCGTTGCTGGCAGATGGAGGACTGATTATTCCCCTCTATTTGGAACTGGTGAGGCCACATCTGGAGCACTGTGCCCAGTTTGGGCCCCCCACTACAGAAAGGACATGGACAAATTGGAGCAAGTCCAGCAGAGAGCAGTGAAAATGGTGAGTGGGGTGGGGGACATGACTTCTAAGGAGAGGTTGAGGGAACTGGGTTTTTTTTTCAGTTTGGAGAAGAGAAGACAGAGGGAGTGAAGAGCTAGTGACCTGAAGGGTTGTTTCAAAGAGGATGGAGCTAGACTGTTCTCAGTGGGGGCAGATGACAGAGCAATGGGCTCAAGTTGCAGCAAGGGAAGTTTAGGTTGGATATTAGGAAACTCTCACTGGGAGGGTTGTAAAACACTGGAACAGGTCACCCAGAGACATTCTAGAAGCTCCATCCTTGGAGGTTTTTAAGGCCTGGCTTGACAAAGCCCTAGCTGGGATGATCTAGTTGGGGGTGGTCCTACTTTGGGCAGGGGGCTGGGCTACATCAGTGTTTCTCAACCCATGGGTCACAAAAATACATGGAAAAGGTTGCAAACAAACTTTAAAAATGGATTCTTCTTTAAAAGGAGAAAAAGAAACCCCAGCTTTTTCCTTGCAGGCTGGCAGAGTTCAAGCCTGCAAGGGGCTGCTTTGGGCCCCCCCTACCCCACAATAGGGGGCTGGGGCCAGCGGGTCAGGAGTGAGGGGCATGAGCCATCGATGTTTACAGATGGGTCCCAGTACAAGAGAGGTTGACAACCACTGGACTAGACGACCTGAGGTCCCTTCCAACCCTAAGTCTGAAAGCAAAGTCTAAGCCTGTTTAAACAAAGTTATGTTGACTACCTCACGAGCAAGCCTGTCGAAGAGGTACTGCTGCGTCACCACTTCATGCCAGTTCCTGTCCACTTCTTCCCCCAGATGGGAATCTTCGCATTCTTTCAGCTTTATTAGTGCTGTGACCTGTATTAAATGAAAATACCACTTCTCAGCAAATGAACCGAATTCAGATCCAGAAGGGCAGGTCCAGCTGAGGCTGCCATGTGCTGTATACTTCACAACAAAAGTGGATGTGCAAGTTAGAAACTGGGGACTGAATAAGGCCATTGCCTCAGCCCTGCCCAGGGTTTCCAGCAGGAGAAGCATCAAAAACCCATCAAGGAACGGAGGGTTAGTTCAGCTGCCAGCAGCACCTCTGCATCATTGCCACTTTCTCCTCCAAGCAAAAGTGACCCTAGGCACCTTCCCTGGTTATTGCTCTGAGTAGGAGATCTCCGAGTCGTTTTACCTGAGTGCTGAAAGCTTCATCGCTTAAATGCTTAATCTTTTCTTCAAAGCAGGAAAGGAATTCTTCTATCTTCTTGTCAACCAATTCAGAACTGAAATAAAAGCAACAGAGAACGGGATTGAATCATTTGGGGTGGAGGGGAAGCCAGCAATTGTGACTATTCGATGCCAAATCTTACAAAGCAAAGAGCAGCAGTTACTTGAGAAACATTTTGACCATTTGGTGAAGAGTGAAAATGTTGGACTTAACATCCCACCTCCTGGCTGAGGGATGCTACACACAGAGCTTCCTCCTGAGCAGCGCGGTAACCTGGCTGCCAAGAAAAATTGTGGAGTAAAGCAACAGTTTCATCAACCAAGGGACTGATGATCAGTAGGTATTATATCAGGGGCACTTAGAACTAACTGCCCTGAACTCCTGGTGTTTGGATGTTCCCTGTCCCCAAGAGCTTACGGTCAAAGCAGCACAGAGAATGCAAGAGCAAACTTGTTAGACTACAATCTTCTGAGGAGGAAGATGCAGGTGTATTGCAAAGGTCTCAAGCGCTCCTCACCCTCCTGACACTTGAGGCCCCTCTGTCCCTTGTGAACTGAGCAACACCCTATTTCAGAAACTAATGATTACAGCACTTATCTCCCTACCGTGGGGGCCAGGGGAGTGGTTAGGCTCAGAGAGCCTGAGCCTGCCCTTACCTGCTTCTCTCCTCGCACCTGGAGCCTGAACACACCTTTGTTTGCTTAGCTCCTCACTTCCTTCGGTGCCCTTTAATGGCACCTTTAATGGTGGAGGTGCTAGCGTGAAGTCTAACTGCTCTTATAAGTTTGGGACTTACTTGTACTTAGTTGCTTGTGTTGCCACAGTAACAGAGAAGCCAAGGATGCCTGAAGTATTTCTGCAGGTAGGGTACACTTGATAGCTGAAACCAAAAGGAGACAAAAAGTCATTTCCCAAGCACAGGCCATTTTATTTGCAGTGCCTAATGACCCAATGAGGCTCCTGGCAACACCTGGAGCAGCAGTTTTAGCAAGCAGGTGGCTGTTAACTATACTGACATTTAAGTTCTTTCAGCAAATGGACATAGGCAAGGGCACGCTCTTAATCCCTTTCAGAGCTCTGCAAATGTTTGGCAAGCAGGCAAGGGCAAATAGTCAGGCTGTGGGCACTCCCAACATGGGGATCTCTCACCCTGCAAGAATGCCCAGCAATCAGACTTCTGGGCAAGCAGGGTTACAGCAGCCACTTAGGACACATCTGCACCCTGCTAGGTGAGCCTTGGCACACTGCCAAGCAGGCAATGCCCACTCACACCCACAGCCAGACTAGTCCGCTGGCCCTGAGCATGCTGCCAGCAGCACCTCAAGCTCTTGTGCTACGGGCTTGGAGCTGCTCTGAACCAGCGACTCTGCAAATGCACAATGTGGGCACTGGCTCAGCCAGGAAGCTGCTTCGATGTACCTGCAGATCACCTCAAGGGGTGTAAATGGAGGATGATGCTGTTGAAGTTGTGAAGAAGTGCATACCATCTCAACAGCCCCCTTGGCTTGCTTCAATGATCGGGGAAAACTATACAAGTGGCTGCTTGGGAGAGCAGGAGGGAGATACCTTCAAGGAAGTCTACTAAGGAGGAGCGTGGCTGTGGAGCTCCCCACCAGGCACGTCCCACTTACACTGATCACCTACCCCCTGACCATGGACTCTAAGCTAGAAGGACAAGACCCTGCTGACTGGAGCTGGGTGTTTTCAGCTGAGTAATCTGAACAATTCAGCAGCCTGGCTGGTCACAAGGTTGCAGTTTTTATAGGACAAAAACTACTAAGTTGAAGGGTGCTGCTGACTGTGGCTGTGATCCCCAAATCCCCCAGGAGATGAAGCTCACTACACAGGATAAAGCAGCTGAACTTACCCAAGGGTTTGCTTGGTTCGCAGGAAGTCAAAGCAAGGCTCCTCCATGTGCATCTGAAACATGGATGATTTCAGTCAGACCCATTTCTACCTGCAGCAGCAGTTATCATCAGACCTAGCACATAACTGATCAAAACTAGTAACAGAGGGAAGCCACTTAAATCCCAATGGATCCCCCCCTTCCCATTATACCACGAAGGACAAAATGCTAAACCTGGACCCGGACGACAAAAGATCCTGGCACTTGAACCAGGTTTTGTAGGAAGAAGCTTACGTCATTGGGTTCCTCAGCAAAACACCTGGCTAGTTCTGTCCTGGCACTATGTCACCACACAGGTGGAGGTGCTCACTACCCAGAAATCTAATTAAAGTGGGCCACAGCATGCATGTCACCTCTGTGCTGCGGCCTCTTGACACCAAGTGCTGTCTTCCTGGCAGGCATTATAAAAAGCAGACGACTGCTGCTTGTACACATCACTAAGCACTGGACATTTCCTTGGATAGATCGACACTTACCACAAGCAGCTCCATGAGGGTGTATTCTCGTAAACTCCTAGCCCCCGACTGAAAAAAAATAGATATATATTCAGTGAAAACAACAGGAATTATTTTGTGCAGCTAAGAGCTACAATCCAAATCCCAGTACGGACCTTTGAGAAAGTGAGCCAGTACAGGAGGAGTGCAGCATTATGTATATTAATTTCCAAAAGAAAGGCATCCAGATTTCAGGCCTTCCATGTATCCTCATTTGGTTCTGCTTTGAGCAGGGGGTTGGACTAGATGACCTCCTGAGGTCCCTTCAGACCCTCACTTTCTGTGAGTCAACAAGCAAAGAGGAAGGTGACAGTGCTGCAAAAGGGTGTGGGGGGCACCCATAGGAGAGAGATAATCACATCAAGTGGTTTCAGGACCTTGGGCCGCCTCATTCATGGGGGGATAGCAAAATTCAGTGTGCTTTCTATAAAATCATCACCAAAGGACTGTTGTATACTCAGGACAAGCATCAGCAACTGCCACAGGGAAAAAACAAACAGATGTGCCCATATCTTCATCCTAATACCTGATAGTAGACCGTCACTTCTGAGTTGGCATCACCTTTGTTGAGGGCTTTCACCTTACAGAGCAGGTGCGTGTTTGGCAGGTCCACCACCCGGAACTGGACAGGGCACGGGTGTGCGAGGGGAACGAACTGCAGCTTTCTGAAGAGAATCCAAGCAGCGAGTGTCATACACCTGCCCATTCGCTGACCAAGGCAAACCACCAGTCTCACAACCCAGATGCCCCAGGAGGTGTCAAACTAGTCTCCATCCCTCCTCAGGCCACAACAAAATTAATAACATGTCCCATTTCACCTGCCACCAAGTCTGAACCCCCAAGGCAGATTTGCAGAAACTAGTGATGATACAGTTACAATGTTTCTTCTTGAACAGGAAATTCCAAGTTTCCAACCATGTCCCCACCCAAAAGAAGAAACCCGTTAACCAAAGGGCATAACTTTGTTATCTGCTTCCCAAATGGAAAGAAGGAAAAAAAATCAGATACTCACTGAACAACGTAATTCAAAAAGTCCTTTGACTCCTAGGAAATGAAGCATAAACAGTTGAGGAGAATGGGTTTGTCAGCCCCAGTATGTACTGCACCTATGCCCCCACCAGCCCTGCCCTCCTACTGTTACAGCACCAAGTCAGTCCCTTCCCTACAAGTCTAGTCCGTTATGCTGTAGAAGGGATCAGACATCTCCTATCCCGTATGTTGCTCAGAGGTTTTAGTCTCTCCATGTGGAAGCCAGAAAAGAAGAAATTAATGGGAGAGAAATGGCTCTCGGAGAGCGGGTCTGTAAGCAGGTTGGGGTATGTGCAAAAAGAGCAAGAGGGAAGGGCCCGTCTTGCTCGAGAGGCTGCAAGTGCTTGGAGGGAGCATGCTGTGCTCCAGTGATGGGAGTGCCAGCCAACACGAGGAGGAGCAGCAGATCTTACAGCAAGTGCTGCAGGCAGAGAGTGTCCACAATGAATTTATTTCACTCCCATGCTGCCAGGCTTCACGCAGATGCATGCAACAACGTCACAGCGCTGGCTGAACCCCAGCTGCCCCCACGATCCATGAGCCCACAAAGGCAAGTTGGTCATTAGAAGAATCCCTGTCCCTGACAGGACACTAGGAAGTTCCCCCCCCCCAGACTGACAGTCCAAGGACAAACATGACCAACTAAGGGAAGGTGACAAGTACAAAGTGAAAACAACGGGTTTGTTCAGGTCTTTCCTCCTTCCTAGCCACACAACAGCATGTGATACTGCAGGTGGGACTTGCCCTCGTCATACCTAGGTTTTAATAAAGGCCTGTTAGCAAGGTCAGACTCCTGGCTGGCCCTGCAGCTCTTGGGTGGAAGCCGTCACTGGCTTCTTCAGGAGTTTTGTGCAAGAGAAGATAGCAGGACTGGGTCTTGCACAGCTCCATTGCAGTCTGACCTTGCCATGGGCTGTACTTCCACTGGTGATTTTGGGGAAGTCATCTACAGCTGCACCAGCACAAAGGCACCCCAATGGTACACAGTAGGAGCACACTTGCAAACACATCAGGGGCAATGCCCTCAACTCATCCATTTCTGGAGCTTAGAGATAAGCTGAGTGTGCTTAAGCAAGCGGGTGAAGTCAACACTACCAATGTGTGCTATGCTGCACCCACAGCATTAATCAGGGAGCTGCACTTGGGAGAGAGATCCCCAGAGCTGCCAGCGCAGGAGGCCACAGGCTGTTGAAACGGCATCACGCATGGAGTTAGTGGCAACTAAGCACAAATAATGTTATAACTTGAGCCCTGATCAGCGAGCAGAGTCCAAGCTTCATTGGCTGAGGTGTGTACTCACTCGGCTTGTGAAGTTTCCTTGTACAAGACCCTCTACAAAGAGCTGAGACTTGAAAGCCTTGACAAAGGCTGAGAGCGATTCAATGGAAAGGCCTTTCATTAGAGTCTCGTATTTATCTATCATAGACCATCTGCTGTGCTCCAAAATCAAGAGACGCACATCTCTGCAACACAACAGAAACAGAGTATGCGTCACCCAACGGGGATGCAGAGCTCCGCATACCTCTCATAACATGCCCGGCATGAATTCCAGCACGTCCTCGCCAGCAGCCCCAAGTGTTGGGCAGCCTGCCTCAAATCCCAAGTACCCCAGGTAACCTGAGATGAGACGCTTGCTGCGCCAGCCGCTGAGGACCTCGGGAAGGTTTTAAGCCTGCTCCCCAGGACAACACTCTTAAACTGCCCAGAATATTCCCGTCACATTTATAAGTATTGTACTCCAGCCCTGGAGGCCCCAGCATTCGTTTTCACCACTGACTGCAAAATATAGCACAGCAAGTTGTCACTAAGGATGCACTCACTTGGCTGCTAGCAGGCCATCGTGACAACCGAGTTAAAGCAGAGAAAAGTCCATTCTTTACCACCACCCTAAGCCAGAGAAAGGCCCTGTTATCTCCCCATGGACACTTACTTGGCCAGCGTCTCCGGTTTGATGAGGACATTAAAGTAAGTTTTCTTCAGCTGCTCCGTTATCATCTCAAAAACAGCTGGAGTAAAACTGAAGTCTGACAAGTGGTCAATGATTAGCTGAAACAGCAGCTAGAAAGAAGAAGAAATGGTTTTGACCAATTTTAGCCCAGTATTTTTTTTGCCAGGAGGACTAAAGTGAATTCTGTCATACAAAACAATAATAGTTTGGGGACCAACAAGGCACCCAAGGGAATCTACCATTTCCCTTGAGATTCTGCTAAACTGGAGGTAGCAAATCCCTGGCACGTGGTTACCAGCCGTGGCCATTTCCAAACTACAGAAGTATGGCTAAACAGAAGGCTCCAAAGCCTGTTTCTGAGTGACTGTAGGATGCAGCAAAGTTCAGGAAGCAAGGAACATGTCCAGCTACACCAGTAACATGATCCAATGAAAAACACAGCACGAGGCCTGAAAGGAGACATTCAAAAAGACGTTAAATTAAATCATCCAAATATCATAGCGACGGTTAGTAATACTGGCTGATGTAACCAAATGCATTGAGCTGCTGTTTTCCTAGAACAGATGTATATTTTTGTTACATTTCTTAGGTAAGTTGTAAAAACAAAGCAACCCTGTCAGTGAAGACTATAAAGGAAGGGGAAGAGAAAACAGGATGGTGGAAGCAGCATTCAGTGATGGTGAAGAACAGAGTTAAGCAAGAAACCCTTCCTTCTACTTCCCCACGGACATAAACCCCAACTGATTGACACCTTCCAAATCCACAAGAGATCTGGTTCAGTCCAGTCCCAAAAGGTTTCAGTGAAATAAAGAAATGTAATATTTATTAGAATATTAGCACAAGTCAGCTGCAAATATAGGGCACAGGCTAGAGGGAAACTCAAGAACTCAGCAAATTCAAGATGACCTGCTGCCAACCCGTGTGCCACCCTCCTTTCCCCAGCCGGTACAGGTAAGAATCTATGAGCCATCACAGGCAGGCAGACTTTGGGATAAGTGTTGTTTTTTTGTGTTTTGGGGTGTACACAATAAAAGGTCAGGCCATAGACGTGTCTCTTTTATCGGTAGCTGACCTGCAAATTTACCTGTAATCCAGGCAACAACACATGCCGGAAGTGACATGGCAGCCTCCGTGAGGCACACAGCAGATCAGAGGAGACAGGCAGCACAGCGCAGGGAACAGAAAGCAGAGCAGCAGACTGGGTCGAGGAAGGGGACAGGAGTGGCACTCCAGAAGGGCGGAGGGCTAATTTGTGGCATGCTTGCCAAAAAAAGGTTGGCTCCCACTGCTAGGCATTTCTCCCTGCATCAGAGCAACAACGCAGTAACGCAGTGGTGGCTTATGGAAGCTAACTGAATAATTTTCACATGTTAATGCCCCAGCTACATTCTGAATTTTCATGTTTAAGAATGCAGCGAAAGGTGAGAATTCAACTTTTTTCTGCGTTAGAAATTCAGACCATTTGCCCTACAGACCAGTAGTAAGAAGGCATTGCAAAATAAGAGCAAGACCTGAACAAGTGAGAACGGAAGAGCAGCTCATGAGGGCTCCTCAAACCTGTGGGGTTTGCATTAACTGAAATGCCCGCTGAATAGCTGAAAGAACTCTACTTCATGAAACACCCAACACTACAGCCCCCGAGAGGAAGGGCTGAACCAACAACCACCTCTGTTCTCTGGCCCTCAAAAGGAGCCCTCCTCCCCACACCCCCAAACAAACTGGGTGGCCCAAGATGAAATAGTTCTGATGCTTCTGGAATAAAAGGCCCATCCAAGCATACCCCTGTGCAGGATGGAGTGAGCTGCACACAGGTGCACGTGCACTACGAGAGTGCAGATACAGGCTGCCTGCTATCGTAAAGCCCTGTCCCTTTGTTTTTGCCCCACTGGCATGGCCCTGTGTTGGGGGAGGAAGGGAGCAGACATCTGGTTATGCTAACTCCTGTACAGTAGAAGAAAGAGAAAAAGCAGTCTCCGGTGGAGGTGGAGAACACTGAACATGGCACAGATCAAAGAGCCCAGTGTGATGGGGGCCCTTTTCTATATGTTTTCCTCTCCTTCACATTGAGGATTTCGCCGGATGACAGACCCTGGCCCCACCTACACACAACACCTGCCATCAAGTCAGGGGAACCACTCACACTTTGTACTGTCCAGGGCTTTCACCTGGTTATGCCTGGTCTGTGTTTGACTCGAGTACTTGACGCAGGCAAGCCCTTTGTCTCCTTCCTGCCAGTATTCACAACAGCATCCAGACAGCACCTGGTTTTGTCTGCCGGCCAGCGGGCGGGGGAGGAAACGCTGCTTTTCCAAGCCCATTTTGATACATAAAGGGGCAAGCACTTGTTAACCTCCTAAGAACCTTAGCAGCCACAAAACATACTCCAGTGTTGTCGCTGCTGTTTTTTCTTTTAACAGTTTGTTTTAATTCTACCTCCTCCTGCAATGTTCAACTAAAGCAGTCCTCAGTGACAAACCGCCAGATAGAACAAGGCATTCTGGTTCATTATTTTTAGTTTATAAAAGACAAAAAAAAGTTTTTATAATTTAACCTGGAACAAACTGAGTGTTTCCCACTCTGTCCAATAGCTGAAAATGCAGGCACACAGAATGTACTCATCTTCCCTCCTACTGAAAACTGAACCCCAAAAGCTGTTACGGTTTGCAAGACTGAGTTTTTATAGCAGAAGCCGGAGTAACCTTAGGTGCTATTGAGAAGTAGCAGGTGTATGCTGAAAGAGGATGTCCAAAAGCACATTGGAAAGTATCTGCAGCTCCTTCAGGAGCTGCAGCAGTCCAGAGGGTGGGCGTTTCCCACAATGAAACTTCTCAACAAGTCTGACTCCGCTGCCGTAGGTAGGAAGTACAGCTGAATGTACGGGACTACGAAGAGCATATATAAACATATGCAGAAACAATATGAAAGTTGCCCTGTTTGGGGCAGAAAAGGTAGGAGGGAGAACAGCAAAGTACTAATGTTAAGTGTTTTACTGGTTTCTTGCGTGTATCATCAAATAGAGGATGCCAGCAAGGCTCCCCATTGCCCCTGGATCCAAGGCTCTTCCATACAAAATGAAGCAATAACAGCAGAGCTTTTATTGGACTCTGTGATTCTCTAGCTCTCCTCCCTTTCCAGGCTAGCCAATGTTTTGTCTGCAGCAGGATGGTTTTGCTGGGTTTTACATCTGGGACTGGTAAGAGAAGCTGATGGAGGGAATGCTGTGATGGGAAGAACTAACAGGTAGGGCTACTAACACTGCAGTGTTTCCTGACGGTGGTTGGGCTGCGAACTCTAGTCTTGCCTGGAACTTTTACTTGCACCTGGATCCCCTCTGCCAAGAGAGCTGCATCCTCCCCTCCACTCCTCACAGCTGTACTTGAGGGTTAAGTCTCCACCAAGAGCCATTCTTACCACAGTGCCTCCTGGGGGAGCTCACTTTGCTCTTGCACTCAGCAGCAGGAAGACTATTATGTACATAAAACCGTTACTATGAGACTACCAATAATCAAAGTTTACAGTCAAGGCTGTGAATGGTTTCTCAGCAAAGGGTTGGTCTATAGCAGAGGGGTCAAACTCGCCTAGCCCCACCAGCTGAATGGAGGGACACAGGACTGGTCCACGGGCCAGACTGGGATCCGCACCGCATTCAGTATCCCTGATAGCTGCTCTGGGATGTGCACCACATGCAGCGGGCACTGGATCTAGCATGGAGGGACAGAGTCTAGGGTCTGTGGGCCTACTAAACCAGAGTGGCTGGAACAGGCACTGCAGGCATCGTGCGTCCTGGGCCCTACCCGCCAGGCTGGTCTGGGTCAATTCAGACCCAGGGGCAGCACCGGGGGCCAGGTAACGGCTCTGTCGGCTGGATGCAGCTGGCAGGCCATACGTTTGACACACCCAGGCTGTAACAAAGACAATGCATTGCTCATACTTACAGGTAGTTTGTGATTAAATCCTTTCACTCGAATGATCAAACCGTGCTCTCCAGCTACCAGCTTGTATTCCAGTTGAGCCACATCCGCTTCATACGCAGGTTCAGCAAGGTTGTGGGAAAGGATGTTTACAAATGTATCAAACAGCACAACACTGCATGGAAACAGGGGCATGAGTGGGTGCCAAAAGCAAGCAGGAAAAAATACAAAAGCAAAACCAGCCTCAAACTCATTGGCTTGGAGGGAACACAACAAGATGCCTAACAGGAAGGAACTATTTCATGGGATAATTTAAGACATTATTTAAGATTTAAACCATAAAATGCAATACAAAAACAACTCCTATTTCGCCAGGAATTTAGCCCCATGCAACGTAAATAATCTGAAAAGCAAAGCTACGACCCTCTCTTCGTTAAGAAAACTCAGGGCTGACTACAGATTATTTTGGCAATAAACTAAAAGATATTTGCACCAAAAAGAAAAAACACTTGACTTTAAAAGTTGCATTGGGGAGCACATAAGTAAATGTTCTCCTGCACCTTTAGTCATTAAAAATCTAATGAGAATAAAGAATGTATATTTTAAACAACATATCAGTCCCCAGTATAATTTGAGAAAAACACACTTTAACATTTTGTGCAAAGAAAGATTCACAGCTTTTGTTTGAAGGAGCAGTTGCTTTGATGGAGATTTGATAGCTATGTAGAGATTGTATTACGGTAAGAACATTTCTTTTAATCCAGCTGTACATGCCACAGAAAACTAGCAACAAATGCTGTGGGTCTAACCAATACTTTCCCAACTAGGGATCTGGAAAAGTTTTTCAACAATAGATTCATAGATATTCCAAAAACACTGTCTGTGCAGATAGCTCCTCAGGGACTTGATTGTATAGCACTGCTCAACCTGATGGTTAGGACCCCACATGGAAGGACACAGCATTGCAGAGCTGTAATCAAAGGCTGTGTATAATGCACATATTACAGCTAGGAGTCATGCCCCTTTCGACACAAAACTCTTTACAACAAAATTCCGCTCCAATGGATTCCCTGCTATTTCTGCGTCCCTTCCCTTGGCAAAGTCCCTTTTCCTCTGACAACCCCTTTCACACAGACAGGCTCCCCAAACTCAACAGTAAGAAGTGAAATGCACAGAACCTGGTGTTCTAGCTGCAAGTTGGGGGGTTTTGTTTTAACTACACAGACGTTTTAGCTGCTCTGCAAGAGAGTGAATAAAAGGCAATCCTTACTTTTCTGCTGACTGCTGTATCAGTGGAGAGATCAGATGGAAACGTACGTACGCTGAAATAAAGAGACTGAAATGAGCAGCTGCTGAAACAATGGCAGTTGGAAGCAGAAAATGTCTTTAACTTCACACCATTTTTCATCTCTCATCAGTACTATCCTGTTGCACTTAGAAGCTGACCCCACATTTTCAGGTTCAGTTCTAGGGGAAATGTTTTCCTGAATATAACACTGCAACAGACAGGCCTTGAAATGCACTACTGCCCTAACAAAAACCTCACAAGAAAATTAAACAACAAAGAAATGAACCAATAGGAATAACTGGACTAAAAATACTAAAATTGCCCAAGGCTCACTGTACTGTCTTCAGACTAAAATCCCATGTCAGCTCATATTCAAGATAGACATTTTTTGTTAAATGGAAACTGTGTAAAGGGAGGCCCTTGCTAAAAGGGCAGCCTCGAACTAGTTTTCTGACAATGAATTAATGCCTGCCTCCCCTCCAGTGCAGCAGCCCTGGGAACCCTCCAGCCAGGAGGGAGCACGGTGGCATGCTTTTTCATTGGGAGGAGGCCACGCTGCCTCCTCCCAATGAAAAAGCGTGCCACCCTGCTAACACAAAGGTGAGCAGCCAGCAGGGCCCTTACAAGCACCGTGCAGGGTCACTTGCGCTGGACTGAAGTTTGCAGAACATGTGACCTTAAGTGTCACCTTCCAGGCCCGGCCGACTGGCCCGTGAGGGTGTTGTGGAGGGTTATCTGCTCCATACAACAGTACCATACCGATCCAGTTACAGGCTGAACCCTGCGTAAAAGCAGACTGATTTTTATAGTTTTTGAGAAAAATGAAAGTTAATTTATAATCAGAATAACGTGGTATTCTGAGCCACAGAAATGCGGTTGCTTGGCTATGACAAATTTTTACCTAGGTTAACCAACATAGACCCTAATAAATCCTGCCTCTCTCAAAATGCCAAGTGCATGTTAAAAAGAAGCAGAAATATACATTACAAAAACATGCAATTATTTTACAGGAGTCATGGGCAGTGCGGTACATGGTATAGGGACAGACAGTACCTAGTCGCAGCTGACTGAGACAGGGACGTGATGCTGCTTTAGAAGCAAAAGCGTCACAAGCTGCTTGCTCGCCAGAAAGTAATGTTCTGCATTTACTTCTGAAGTGTCAAAAGGTGAGGTACAACAAGAACAACTTCTAAAAATACACAGCCCCTATTTCAAAGAGCTTCCATCTTCAAAAATTAAAAAGCTGTTCCACTCAAAAAGTCTCTCTCAAAACAGCAGCTTTCTTCCCTGGGTCCCAATGATTCCAGATGACAATTCTCTCACTTCATAAGAAAAACATAAGATTTTTCAAACTTAGGTGGGTTCCTTCATTCTCACAAACCAAACCAGATTTTGTTTGCCAAATTCTGCCCTCAGTTGCCACTGTGATATATTTGCATCCCATTCTGAGCAGAGTGCTACCATGTGACAGTAATTATGGATTTTAAAGATCACTGCATTAGAAGTATATTACTACCCTTAAGAGACAAAGTCAGGGTTCATCTACTAACCTAAATATTTCCTACAAAGAAAAACCCAAGACCAGTTAGTAAAACTGCCAGGTCCTGATAGCTGTCCACAGACAAAAAG